GAACCACTCTATGTATACTTTACTCTATGATTCCTATGTATGGAGCTTGATGCTGGCTGGCCATAAAACATTATTTCACACTTTCCTATCTTTCTTGCCCCATCTTCAACCAAAATCGTATACCTTCCCCTTCTTACTTCTTTTCAAAGGCTTCTTAACGATGTACGACCTTCTTAACATTTGCAAACCAAACCAAACCCTTTCCTGTCACATGACAGGAAGCTGTACTATTTGTGGGTCTTGATTGGCCAGTCTAAAAAGGGACAGGAAGGGAACCTGAGGACACCAGGTGAGGACAAGAGACACTTTTGGGTTTGCTACTGAGGAGAGAGGTCAGGCAAGAGTGACCGCGAGACAGGGTACAAGGCTTAGGACGAAAGAGAGTACTTAAAAATAAGTGAGCCAGCTGTTTAAGATGAGTACTTAAAAATAAGTGAGCCAGCTGTTTTATAGAAGTCCTTGGACTTCTATAAAACTGATTTTATAAATATATGCCTCGGCACATATTTATAAGTAACTGTTTTTTTATTTTCCTGGATGCTGACGGATTGGGATATGGTTGCCTCACCATTTGTGAGGCAATCATAGTCAACATTACCGTAGTATCAGGACCCACTGATCTAAACTACTGGTAGACTGTCTTCATTCTTCATCCTTCCTTTCTCCTTTTAGTTTTAAGGAGTGATAATATTAGTTTTAAGTTTAATTGTAATTATGTTAGTTTTAAGCAGGATTGTATATACAGTCAACTCCCCTATAACACTGTTGATTATTCCGTTTTATATGAATTCCATGTTGTACGAGTCACTTAGATTATACAAATACATGAGCCATTCACAGTCCGGCACACCTATTTGTAAAATTTAAGTGACTCATACAACATGGAATTCATATAAAACGGAATAATCAACAGTGTTATGGGGGATGTCGACTGTATATTAATTGTCATGGGAAGTTCAATTGAGAGGAACGTTGTACATATATCTATATATAATTGTCTCTGTGATGGACATTCTGATCTCTGTTCTCTCTGTTGACTAATAAAACAATTTGATTGTTATGTTATGTGTGTTGTCGTTTTATCACGTGTTTCACACCTTCTCACACAGTACCACAGATCCCACACAATACAGACCAATTACATGTCTTCCAACACTACAAATTATTGACAGCCTGTATTGCAAACAAAATATACAAACATGTTGAAGAACACAACATTCTTACAGAACAACAAAAAGGTTGCTGTAGAAATCACAATGGATGCAAAGAACATTTACTCATAGATTCAGTCATTTTATAGCAAGCATGCAAATAACATGGAAACATGTTATTTGCATGCTTGCTATAAAATGGCATATATAGATCACAGAAAAGCATTTAACAGTGTTCCACACAGTTGGCTGCTACATATTCTACATATGTATAAAATACATTCATCAGTTATTGCATTCTTCCAAAACACTGCAGCACTGGAGAATGTGTTGTCTTAGTATTCATAACACTTGCATAGAAACAAACCAAATATTCATTAGGTGAGGAATGTTTCAAGGATATTCCTTGAGTTCTGTCTGGTTCTGTTTAGCCCTGAATCCATTATCTAACATGTTAAACAACACACAACATGGTTACAATATCAGACATGAAAAGGCAGCACTGTTTACATTGTCATATCTCATGCACAGTACATGGATGACATAAAACTTTATGTATACATACAAAAACAAAATCAATTTCTACAGATCACTCATTCATACACCAAGGACATGCAAATAGACTTTGACCTAAATGCAAAACACTTCACACAGAGAAAGGAGTTTTGAAAAAAAGGAGATTTTGTACTGGGAAATGGAGATGTGATTGAATCCATGGAAGAGGCTGAGTTCTACAAGTAGTTAATTTGGTCTAAAAGGCCAAATTAACAGAAAATACACAAATAAAAGCAAAGAGTAATTAAAGATTGCCAAAGTAGGTTAAACACTATTTTCAGAACACAGTTATTAAGCAATAAACACATACAGGTAACCCCTGTATAACATGGCACTTCTATAGCACGGATTCACTCTAACACAGTTCGAGAATTGGTACCATACCCCGTATAACACGGTACTTTTATAACACAGATTCACTCTGACACGGTTTGAGAAATGGGTAAAACCCTCGTACAACATGAAATGTAATAAATTTTTACATACTTAAGTACTAATAGTTCACGAAAATTATTATTTTCATGAACTATTAGTACTTCAGTGTGTAAATTTTCTTTTCTCTTCAGCATACATATGGTCCTTCACGAAAATTGTTTTAATTTTGCCATATCTCGACACTTCTGCTTCTGGTGTTGCCAGATGTTTTTCCCTTATTCCGTAAGTGCTTAGCACCATATAAGGAAATTTATAAAGATCTTTTAACTAGAAGCAAGCAATCTAAAATTACATACACTTTTTGCATAAGGTAAAGCATGAATCTGAAAATAATGCAGAAAAATGCTCAGAGGATAACGATAACTTGCCAAAAATAAAACGCTCTCGGTTAATAGTGCTTTTAGTGATGACAAAGAAAACATTGTTTAATTTATATTAATATGTATCACTTAAGAAAATTTTAATAAAGATATTTATCTTAATTATGAAAATATAGTAGCATGTTTTTTAATTTTTGGAACTTAACCCTCCTTTTTGTACTAGTTCTTTGATTCGCATAACATGGCAATTTTTTGGAACGTAACTACCATGTTATATGGGGGATACCTGTATGTTGTCTCGATTCTCACTTATTCTTTTGGAGTTATACATTGGTCTCACACAGATCTTGAACAACTCTAAAGGAAAACAAGAACAACACTTACCAAACATAAACAACATCCTAAATCCACCATAGAAAGATTATTTCTTCCATGTAAAGATGGCAGACAGAACCTGATTGACATAGTAAACCTTTGCTACAAACAAATACAGACACTGCAAGAGTATTTCTGAGAAGTATCACACTTACATAAAGTAGTAACTTTAGCAGACTTAAATAACACACAATTAAATTTATCCTCACATTATATGGACACAACACAACATATAAAAAGCATAGACACCAGTAAGCAATCGTGGGCTCGAAAGGCTCTCCATGGCAGGCATCCCTACAACCAGAGTTGGTAGATTAACTGGTCTTTCGACTTCCTATCTTCGCTTGTTGCTAGAATGAACTAGAGACAAATGTTACCACCAGGGGCACTGCAATCACTGCAAGAGTGCTAGATCGAATCGATGTGAGGACGAATGTTTTCTTTTTATTGAAAGTTATATAACCTTCGAGTTCGATTTCATAATTTTTTATATGCATTTTATTATAAGAATGAAAAAGCTTTTATTTAAACCCAAAATCAGGTTTATGGATAAATAAATGACACTTAATAAAACATTAAACACTTTCCGTCGCTGAGAAATGTGTATTTAATAAAATACGTTCAAACTCATTTACACCCGAGGATGGTTTATTCCATGAGGCTGAAAATGTCATTTTCAGCCTCATGGAAAATGTCATTTTCAGCCTCATCATTCTTGTGAGACATCACGTTGATTGTTTTTGAGGTACTTACAAATGTACTTAGGACGATTAGGGAAGTTTGATGGATACACAACCGACGTTAATGCCCAGCGATCTCGTGGAATTTCTACTTTCTCTCCATTTATAACATGGGAGAAGGTTTTTAAAATAAATTACTCGCAAAATATATGTCACAAACGTAACATTTATTTGTTAGCATCTTGTCATCTCGTGGAATGAATCGCATCCACTCCTCAATCTTATTGCTAGGAACACGGAATAAATGTCTCTTCTCGTTCGATGACTTATATCCTGCCTGACATCCTGGCACAAAGCATGTTGGTATTTTTATGTAGCTAAAAAAACAATTATTGTAGGTCAAAATCACTGACTTCAGTATATACCTAGCAAGAACAACGCTCTCCTGCTAACAGTGGTGCCAACTAGCGGCAAATATTGTCTCTAGCTAAGTTTGAACTATTAGTCGAAAGACCAGTTAATCTACCGACTCTGCTACAACCTAGTAACTCTAGATGCTTATGATTTTGTTGATAAAACTGCATCAAACAACTGGTTAACTCCAGGATGCCTCTTTGGGGAGATGGAAAGGTTTGTGACTGCCATACAGGATCGAGTCATATATGCTAAAAACTACAGAAAACACATACTGAAAGATACAACACTCACAAATGACTCATGCAGAAAATGTCACATCATTTCAGAAACTATACAACTCATCACTTCTGGTTGCACACTCTTGGCCTAGACAGATTATTTACATAGACATAATCAAGTATAATACACCAAGAGTTTGCAAAGAAACACAAATTATTAGACATTCACAAACCATACTATGAATACATTCCACAGACAGTATTGGAAAACAACAAGCACAAAATCTACTGTGACAGAGCCATTATCACAGAGAAACAATTTACCACAACAGACCAGACATCAGTCTCATTGACAAACACAATAAAATCACACAAATTACAGACATAGCCATTCCAAACACTCAAAATGTACAAAACACCTGCTCTGAAAAAATCAGCAAGTAGACATAACTCACCCGGGAAATAAGTGACTACTTATTTTACCTCTTGTTCTCTCCCATATGGGTGTCATTCTACACATACTACACAAAAGCCTGGGAACATTACAATTGAATAAAAACACATACATCGCACTACAGAAGATCACTATATTGAATACATGTCATATTGTTAGGAAATTCCTGAATACAAACACCCACACTGACACACTTATTTAATTTTCGTTCTTATTTGGTTACTATGCCTTCCTTGACTTTGGTCTGGCATAGTAGACAGCCACTGGTGTCAACTGAGTATAACTCACTAAACCCAACATAATAATAATAATTTGATTATTAATAATTTATAATTAAAATATTTTGTGCAAATAAATATTAAGAATTTTCTTAAAACTTTTAAATAACTATTTAGGTATGATCCTAAAACAGACACCTGGACTTCAGTTGCTCCGATGAGCGTTCGGAGAGATGCTATTGGAGTTTCTCTTTTAGGACACAAATTATTTGCGATTGGTGGTTACGATGGACAAAATTATCTGAATCTTGTACAAACTTATGATCCTCAGTCAAATGAATGGGAAGAGGTATGACTTATTGGTTTATTAATATGTTTACATGTAAAATTATGGCATTTAATATTTTGTGGTTATTATAGAAACCAAATAATTTAATTATTTAAATATTTGAGATACAGAACTTTAACATAATTAAAATATTTATATACAAAAAACAAAATTTTAGTTAGTAGAGAACTTCAGTTTATCAGTGTTAAAACCACAAGTACTTGTACAGAGTTTAAACATTTTCAGCAATGCAATAATGTTGTCATCAGACATGATAGTAGAACTGATATAGAAGCTTTTGAAAATGAATGCTTTGAATTTAAATTTTTCATGTGATACAAAGAAGCAAGTAACAAAATTTAAATTTAAAGAAAGCATATAGTAAAAATTTAACAAAAATATAGAATAGGTCAGAATTGACTACAGAATAATCATTGTTGATTGACCACATAATTTCTTGTTGGAAATAATGTGAAAAACTGTTATCCATGTTTTGATAGGATATGGCATAGGATAGGCATTCCACAGATATTCATGGCAAAAGGTTTATGATGCCACTTCCAGTCATTTGGAATTTTTTCTCTAAACACCCAAACGAAGTATTTTTTAGTGCAAGAGTATTGTGACATGTATTGATACAATATCTTTTGTTGGGGGAGTGTAATGACTCAGTATTGGAAGCAGAAAAACTATACAGTCAGCAATATCCTGACATGAATGCTGCCCAGATCTCCAAGTCATCTGGTTTTGCCAAATGTGCAAAACAGTAGGGTCATACCACTGCTGAATGTAGACAATGGAAATGTATGTTTTCTGCTTACACTAACTATTGAGGATGCTGTACTAGCATTGATATAGGAATTTCCAACGACCATTAGCCATGCAATTTTGCAACAGTTAAATGTACATCAAAGTATTATACTATCCATTATAAATGACAAAGACCTGCATTAATATCAGTTCACATGAATGGTAGATCTTCATCAGCAGGATTGCCTTCAGAGATAGGAGTATTGTAAGTTGCTTTTACAGCAACATACCTTGGATAATACTTTCATCCACCAGATCTTGTGAACTAATGAAGCAACAGTGATGTTTAGGCATTTTGAAAATCCCCATGCTACATGTTCACACATTTACCAAGTCCATTGGAATATCAATATTTGGTGCAATATTTTGTGCAAAATTCTAGTAGGACATCATCTTCCTGAATGTCTGACAGCTGGAAACTACATAGTATTATTTTGCACATTGTTCTGCCAGATTTTTTAGATGAAATAACTGGTTTTTATTTTTAGTCTATGGTTTTGTAATAAGCAAACAATTACAAATTACATCGGGCTAATATATCACAATTATTTTAAATTAATTACTAAGTAATTTGTTGCTAGAAGGCATTAGGCACCATCTCTTATTAGATTTAATAATTATAATTGAATTAAATAATTTAGAAAATTCTGGAAGAAATAGATCAGCCCAGAGCAGATTCAAACCTTCAACTTCCACTTACCACCGTGTGGATGCATTGCCAGTTACACTACCAGAGCCGCAGTATGATCTCCTCTTCCAAATATATTTAGACATGAGATATAACCATCCTTGGTTACATATGGCACCGGCTGGGGACTGGAGGCTCGGGTAGTGTAACTGGCAATGCATCCATACAGTAAATGGCAGTTGCTGGTTCGAGTCCACTCCAGGCTGATCCATTTCTTCCAGAATTTTCTAAATTATTTAATTCAATTATAATTATTAAATCTAATAAGAAATAGTGCCTAATGCCATCCTCCAGTGACAAATTACTTAGTAATTAATTTAAAATAATTACGATATATTAGTTCAATGTAATCCAATAGTTGTTGGCTTATTACCAGGGCTGTGGAGTCGGAGTCGTGGAGTTTTGGTGTTTTAGCTGGATTTGGAGTCGGAGTTGTCAAAAAATCTGCCGACTCCAACTCCTTTTTACTTACCAACTTGTTATGTATATAAAACGGAAAAGTATTAGAATTATGTCAAATTTGACCCTCCAAGTTTATTTTTGCAAATCTACACATTTGGAGACTCCTGAACCCCTCAAAAAAGTCAATAAAGGGGAAAAATTCGCGCACGTGTGTGTTGTCGTCTAATTTGTTTAATTTCTTTTTTTTTCTGTTCTGAGATGTTAAACAATATCTCAGAATGGGTAAAGTTTAAGAAACAAAATGTGGCACTGTAGCTTGCGTATAAAGAGGCATTAATACTATTAAATTTTGGTTCTTAATTAAAGGTCATCAGGGTGAAGACATAAAAGTGATCATGTGTCAAATCTCTTAATGAACATTTTACTCATTATTAGTGTTCAAAATTTAAAAAAATAAGATAAAACTTGTCTCTACCCTCAAAATAAGCTTTTTTGCCATTTTATAATAGTACAGTAAACCCGTTAAGATGTTTTCGCCTAAGATGTTAGAATGTATATGGGGACATGATTTAGTTCAACAACTTTGACGCTTAATAACTAACTCCTATGTTAAACTATCTGACTCCAATTCTGACCACTCTGATCACAGAAATCTTCACATACATCTGACCACAGATGTGTGTGAAGATTCTGACCACAGAAGGCTTCAAACAGGGTGAACTCAATCGTGTCCCCCACACACAGTCTAATATCCATACATATAGAAAAAACCTCAAATCTTTTGCATATCTTGAAATTTTAAGGTGTCCCGAGTCCAAAAATGTAAAAATTTGGAAGGGGCCATTTTTTGACCGAGCGCTACACTATTCCTCTTATATATACCAGCCGGAAAAGTAAAAGTTATTGAATACATATTTGTATATTACTTAGAGAAGTCTTTTAGCTTTAGAATAAAAAGTTTCTATTCTCTATCTTTATTAGAACTCTATTTATTGAATTTTTTATTCTGAGGTCACATGATGACATCAGAATTTCCAGGTCTTTTTCAGTAACAAGTCCGCCCCTGGTCGGAGTTGGAATCGGTAGATTTTTACGCGACTCCACATCCCTGCTTATTACATGTATATGCATACATTGGGTTTGTAGCTGTTGGCTTATGTCTATGGTTTCCGCACAATGCAGCATTGGTGCATTCTTCATTTATTGATTGCCAGTGGTTGGATAGGGAATATCCAGGTTGATGGCCTGTTAGATTGCTTGATCTGAATTCTGGAGACTTCTTATGGTAGCATCTCAATGCAATTGCTTACAGGCCAGTAGACACTCTGCAAGACTTAGTGACTATCTTGCAATTGGCTGTTGCAACCATAACTCCTGCCATGTTGCAATGCATACAAATGAGTATTATTTGATGGGTAGCAGATTGTTTCTCACTAGATGGGATCATTTTGAACACTTATTATAAAATAATATAACCAGCTATCTTCTTCTTCTTCAATGCTGCCAAATGGCGTTTGCGACTTCGTTTTGATATTGTTCTCTGTCTAGCACTGTGTGTAGAACTTGTGCTGTTGTCATGTGAAGTCAGGTGTTGATGTTATCTAGCCAGGCTGTTTTTGGTTTGCCTGGACGTTTCTTGCCTTCAATCCTGACCTCCAGGATGAGCGGCAATAGATGGTATTTTTGGTAGTTCCTAGTGATGTGGCCTAGGTATTTGCATTTCTTGCTGATGATGGTTTTGATCAGGTCCCGGTCCGTGTGCATATCCTACAGGACCTGTGCATTGGTTATGTGGCGGCCGCATAATTGTAACCAGCGCTACATCTGAAAATCCAGGTGGCGCTGGCGCGACGGTTATATAAACATGTGCAGGCCGTCCGCCATACTTCCTTCCCGACTTGTCAGCTATTCTCGGGTTGCTCTCATGTACACGTGGATTCCAACCAACCGACCGTTAGGTAGACGAGACTTCTTGTATATAGTGTAAATAAAGCAAATGGGAGATATATGACTACAGTCTCTATACATATATTCAGCGAACACAATCAAGTGGTGTGACGAACGCCACAGTTATCTTGTCCGTCCATGGGATTTTCAGCATTCTTCAGTAGAGCCACATTTTGAAGGCCTGGAGCTTTTTTGTAGTGGCTGCTGGTAGAGTCCAGGTTTCTACACCGTAGAGCAGAATTGGCCAGATGTAGCATTTGAATGTGCATAATTTGAGCATGATATTCAAGCTTTTGTCAGTAAGGAGTGTTTTCCATTTTTTGAATGCCTGTCTGGCTTGTTCGATTCTGCTCTTGATTTCGGCCTCGTGATTCAGCTGGTCATCTATTAGTACTCTGAGATACTTGAAGCAGTGTACTTGCTCCAACTTTTTGTTACTGTATTTAATTTGATCATGATTTCACTTTGTGTCCTGCTGACCTTTATCACTTTTATTTTCTTTTTGTTGATTCGTAAACCCCATGCTTGACTTTCTTTGTCCACTTCATTCAAGACAGTCTGTAAATCTTGTTTGGAATCTGCTATTAATGCCTTGTCGTCGGCATATCTTAGGTTATTGATGTAGTGTCTGTTAACTTTTATGCTGATCTCCTTGTCGGCCAGTGTTCAGTTGAAAATCATTTCTGAATAGATATTGAAAAGAATGGGAGATAATGGGCAGCCTTGCCAGACATCTCTTTGTATTGGGATTGGGTCTGTCAGGTCATTGTCATAGTGGAACCAGGCTGTTTGATTCCAGTAGAGAGTTGTGATAAAGTTGATATTGTTAGTTTCAAGCCTAACTTTTCTCAGTTGATTAATTAGATAGCCGTGGTTCACTGAGTTGAAGGCTTTCTCATAGTCAATAAAACATATGCACACTTTTTTTTGATGTACATAGCACCTCTGTAGCAGTATTTGCAAGCAGAAAATTGTGTCTCTGGTGCCCAGCCTCCCTGCAGAAGCCAAACTGTGTGTTTCCTAGTGCATGTTTGTATTTACATTGTATTCTTTGCTGAATCACCTTGAGGAAGACTTTTAGCACCTGGCTCATTAAACTGATCAGCCTGAAGTCTTTGCATTTTTGACTAGTAGCCTTTTTTGGTAGGGCCACAAGGATTGATTGGAGCCAGTCAGATGGAATTTGTTGTAGATTTGATTGAACCATTTCATTAATTGCTGTATGTTGTTGTAGTCCAGCTGGTTCTCAGTTCTGCGTGAATCTGGTCAGGTCTGCAAGCCTTGCCTGGCTTTACAGATGGCATGTTCCACTTCAGACATTAGTATGTGGAGATTGTCTTCCTGCACTTGTTGCAATTCTGCTGGTTTTCTGTTGTATCCGAATAGATTGTATATGTAGTTCTTCCAGGTGTCGAATTTGGCTTGTTTGATTAATATAGGTTGATTGTTGTCCGTATATAAGCTTGGGATAGGAGCCAGTTTGTAGATGCTTCCAGCTTCTTTGAGCTTCTTGTGCAGGTTAAAGCTATCATTTTTCTTGATTAGATCTTCAATTTCTGCACACTGCTCTTCCATTCATTTTTCCTTTGCTTTTCAGATTTCTTGTTTGATCTTTTGTTGTATTTCTTTGTATTTTTCCCGGTTGTTATCACTTTTGAGTGTTCTCTGTTCTTCCATTAGATTAGAATGTGCTGGGTCATCCACCATTGTTTCTTTTTCGGTGCCTGATGTCCCAGCAGGGTTTCTGCTGTTTTGTTGATGCACTGTTTAAGTGAAAGTCCGAACACTTGTACACCTGTTGTTGCTGCTTTGATTGATCTGATTAAATTGTTTAGATGCAGCTGTAATTGACACCTGAAGGTGTTGTTCTTCAGTTTCTCCAGATCGATTCTTTTTGTTGCTCTTGTGTATTTTACTGATCGTAGTTTGAGGTGTAGTGTTACTGTCACTAGGTTATGGTCTGATAATATGTCAGTTCCAGGGTAAGTTTTTGCCCTGTGGGCACTTGACTTATATCTGATGTTGATTAAGATGTAATCAATTTGGTTCCTGATGATATTGTTGTCAGTGTCTTGTGGCGAGGTCCAGGTGTACAGTCGTCAAGGAGGTAGTTTAAACCTGTGCTAAAGTTTTCTTCTTGACAGAACTGGATGAGCCTGTCATCTCATTCGTTCCGTGTCCCCAAGCCATGTTCTGTGACTGTGTTTTATAGTCTTCCTCGACCGACTTTGGCATTGAAGTCATCGAGGATGACTGTAATGTCATGCTAGTTCAATGGCTTTAAGGTGTTGCTTAGCTGGTTGTAGAACGATTCAATTTCTTGATCGTCTTTGTCCGCTGTTGGTGCATAGACCTGGAGCACGTTCAGGTTGATCTTATTGCATGCTAACTGTAGTAGTGCGATTTGTTCTGATATTGGGATGAAACTGGTGATTTTGTTGGCCAGTTGTTTGTGGACAACAAAAGCGACGCCATACATCTGCTTGGTG